GTGTGTGTGTGTGTATAATCACCTGGATAATTTTCATTTAAATACCCGTGACTAGGTCCCAAGCCATACCAAAGAGGGTTGCCCTTTGTTCATAGGACAGACCATCAGCATGACCTTGAAGGTCTTTATTCCTCCCAAACCCCTCTCTTGTTCATTTATTCTTCCTCTTTGTTCCCTCTCCCTCCCCCTTCCTCCCCACTGGGAGCCATTTCATTATGTAAATGAGTCTTTCTTGTTTGTAACCCTGAAAAATGAATATTATTGTTTTATGCCCATAATTTGTAATCGACACACGTAGCCTGGTACTATAGATCTTGATTTCACTTTTTTCTGTTGCTGGGTTGGCTCCCCCTACCCATGGGCGCACTTGGTCCCTGGGTCCTGAGCACGGCACGAGTTGGTGTGCAGCCCGTGTTTATCACTCACTGCCCTAGGAGGGACACCCAGGCCGCCTCCTGTTCCTGCCCCATAAACACTGCTGCAGTGAACATCCTCGTGCTCGCTCCCTCCCGGTCCCATGGTTTCTTTGGGAAGTCACCCAGAGGCAGAATTATTGGGAGATACATATGTGCAATACTTACTTCATCAGACTAAACCACACTCTAATTTTTAGCAGACTTGTGACAACTTGTTGTTGAAAGTTGTCTTCCTCTAATTACCAGTGAGTTTGTGCTTGTACACACCCTGATTGGTCTTTTGTGTGTTGTTGTTTTTTTTTTTCTTTTCTTCTAGGAGTTGCCTGTTTATACCATTTGCCCATTTTCCTATTTGGGTCACTCTTTTTCTCATTAAAAAAAATCTCGGGGCACCTGGGTGGCTCAGTTGAGTGTCTCTTGATTTCAGCTCAGGTCATGATCCCAGGGTTTTGGGTGGAGACGCAAGTTGGGCTCCACACTCAGCATGGAGCCTGCTTGGGATTCTCGCTCTCTCCCTCTGCCCTGCTCGCTCACACGCTCTTCTCTCTCTCTCTCTCACACACACACAAATCTCCACGTTAGACTTTGCAAATATTTCTTCCCATTCTGAAACCTGTTACATTTGCCCATGATGTCCTTCCTTGAACAAAAGCTTTAAATTTTAACATAGTCAAATTAATTTTTTTTTTCTTTTACTTTACAACTTGTTCCAATGGAGTTTTAAGTTCTTCTCTGCTCCTGGTCATCAAGTATTTTCCTCCGTCACCTTTATAGTTTTTCAGAGGATGCTGAATCCATCAGAGAAACCTTGTCCAATAGAACTCAGATAATGGAAAGCTTTCATATCTATACCATCAAATTAGTAGCACTGGTTACTAAGTGCTACTTAGTGGCACTTAGTAGGATGTGGCAATTGAGGATGTCAAATGTAGCTACTGCAGCCACAGCACTGAACGCTTCATTTATTAAAAAAATTAAATAGTTGGGGCGCCTGGGTGGCGCAGTTGGTTAAGCGTCCGACTTCAGCCAGGTCACGATCTCGCGGTCCGTGAGTTCGAGCCCCGCGTCGGGCTCTGGGCTGATGGCTCAGAGCCTGGAGCCTGTTTCCGATTCTGTGTCTCCCTCTCTCTCTGCCCCTCCCCCGTTCATGCTCTGTCTCTCTCTGTCCCAAAAATAAAAAAAAAATAAAAAAAAAATAAAAAAATAAAAAAAAAAAAAATTAAATAGCCATATGTGGTTAGTGGCTACCGCCCCGGACAGCACAGATCTAGGGTTTTGTTGTGGTGTTAGGTATGGATTCAGTTTTCTTTTATCTCCAGAAAATGAACCAATTTCCCCAACACTATTATTAAACTATTTTTCCCTCGTTGCTTTGTGGGGCCATCCTTATTGTATATTAAGCTCCTGAATACACGTGGGTCGGCCTCTGGGTTCTCCGGAGAAGCCCAGTGAGTCTAGTGAACAGCAGAGGTGGAGAATCACAATTCTACACTAACAGACTTTTTAGCCAGACACACAGCTGCCCAGAATAAAGACTACATTTCCCAGCCTCCCTTGCCACTGGAGGAAACCATGTGACTAAACTCTGGCCAATGAGGCAATGGTGCAACCTCTGGTCATGTCCTTAAAGGGGAGTGCCTACCTCTTCCAGTCCTCTGGACCACTGATTCAGCCGGGGGTGGGGGGTGCTGGGAATTTGCATTCCCAGCAAGTTCCCAGGGATGCTGCTGGTCTGGGAACCACACTTTGGAGAACCATTGGTCTGACTTGTTTCACTCACTCATCTTGGGTTTTTGTTAAACATGCCTTTGACCTACAGGCTAATACATCCTGACTTGCCCCTCCCAGGCCTTTGCAGTTTAGAGCACAGCACCCCCTGCTGGAGCTGAGGTAACCCTCGCTGCTTGTGTGGCACCAGGTCGACTCAGAGGCCGGCTGCGACTGTGCCACACTTGCCCTTGAGTGCTCCCGTCCTTCCGAGGCTGGAAGCCTGAAGAACTAACTTGCACGGACCCCCTTGCGAGCTGGGGTCAGTAGGGTTCTGCCTGCAGGAGGGACCGGTGCTGCGGGGCGGGAAGCTGGAAGAACCTCTGTTCCCCCAGCAGCAGAGGCACGAGGGGACTTCCGGGATTCTGGTGGTGCCACTGAGCCCTTCTGTTCCTCTAGCCCCACGCATGGCCGGGTTACTGGCCCTGTCGGCTCCCACAGACTTCCCAATACTTTTGTAACTAACCCCCTGTATTAAATCTCTTGTTTGAGACAACTAGAGGCCTTTGATGTCACAGGAGCCCCTTCTGCGGAGGCAGGACAGCAGGACGGGGGCACAGGGCCTGCAGAGACATCCTCAAGGCCACCCAAAACCATTCTTTAAACTGCAGTGACGGTGACTGAAGGGGACAATCACAGGTGGGTCGCCTCCACCATGTAATGGCCCTACAAGGGACTTCCCGTCCTTCACCTGCAGTGGCCTGTCCTGGAGAGGCCCCGGGGGCCCCAGGGAAACAAGGCACTCAGGCTGTGAGCACGGCGGCTCTGTTCTTCACCGTCCTTCACTGGTTTTAGAATCACAGGCTTACCAGCCTCCTAAAATGAGTGGGGGTTTCTATCTTTTTTGTTTCCTGGAACAAACTGTACCAGGTAGGAATTACTGGATCCAAGTCTGGTAGAACTCATTTGTAAAAGCATTTAAGCTCCAAGCTTTTTCGTTACTGTGTGTTTGGCGGGGGACGGGGGTGTGTGTTACTTTGGACTTTTCCTGTTTTCCATTCCTCCTTATACCAATTTTGGCTCTTCCCAGGGACGTAACAGCTCCACCCAGGCTCCAACACATTCACACATTCGGCAACAGCTGTCGCCCTTGGTAGGTTTCGACCCGATTCCCCACCTAGCCTTAGTGCATGTTCCTGGCCGGCCCGGATCACAGACACGGTGCCCCATCCTTGGGGAGCTCAGGGCCTGAGGAGAGGGATGCTGGGGGCGGAGGAGGGGGTGTCATGTGACCGTGGGGAACAGGAGGTGTGGCCCGAGCCAGAATCTCTACATACTTCATGCCCACAAACCAGGCTGAGGTCCCGGGTGCCAATGGTGATGCGACTGGCTCCTCCCGCTGCCGCCGCCCCCGCCACTTCCTGGGTTCCGGGGAAGATGCGCGCAGGCAAGCCCAGGACCAGCCCGGGGCGGTCAGTGACCAGGACTCAGAGGCAGCGCGGTTATCGTGACGTCAGCCAATTGCTTTCGCCCCTTGTGGAGACCCAGGCTCAGCCCCCACCGGGACCCTGACGTGGCGGGAAGCCTTTGGCCAATGGAGTATCTTCCAGCTGGCCACTCGGGATCCATCTGCCTCCGCCGATTCCTCAAAAGCCCACCTGCCCGCTGACCGATTTTCTGAGTGGCCAATTTACTCGAACGTCAACTCATCAAGGATCATTTCCATCCATTGGACATGCTCAAGACAACCTCTGAAACAAGTTTCCAGCAAATCTCAGATTTGGCCAACTGGTGGTCGTGGCACATGGGCTCCGGGAACCTGGCCGTTGGCAGGCCGGCAGGGGAGCGAATCCGGGCCCCTGGTCAGGGGGGTGCTACTGGCTTCTTTGACCCGAACTCCCGCAGAGGCTGCCCTCTCTCCGCCCCAACCCCTCCCAATTCCACACCAAGCCGGCCTGGATGGGGGTGGGGGTGGGGCTCCACACACACACACACACACACACACACACACACACACACACAAACAAAACAAGAAAACATTTTAATTGTAAAACTAACTCAAGGGAGGGGAGGGTGGGGCGGCTCCAAGGGGACAGGAACCTGATTCTTCAAGTGGTGGTTCTGTCCCTGACGCTGCCCCGCAGGACAGGGGCCATCCGTCCCCAAGTCGGGACAGGGGCTAGAGTGTTATAAAATGACAATATAAATAGACTTCTAGAAAAGAGGAGGCTGTCCAGGCGCAGTAGTCGTCTTTTGCAGAGGCTGGGGACGGGCAGGAAGCCCTGACCCCCGTCTCCCCATCCAGCCACAGAAAGGGGGTGCAGGACTTGGGGAAAAGGCCACTCTTCAGACATTCATGACCGCCCCCACAATGGCTCAGGCGGGGACAGGGGGCTGCGCTGTATGCTAGGTAAGGTCTCAGCGATACCCACTCGCAGGCTGGAGGACAGAGCGGATGGACCTTCCGCACATGCACACGCGCACACACATGCACACCCGTGAGCACACGCACGCAGACAGACACACACCTTTCGTAGTGTTCTCTCCACCCACAGCAGCCCCCACTGCAGATGACTTCCAGTGATGGGGGGCTGCCCCTCCTTCCTGGAGACAGGAAGACACAGGGAGGGCCTGTCCCCGAGGGTGGGGGTCCTGGGATCCTCACGTGCTCCCACGAGTCCCTGTGTTTTTTCAAAAGTCACAAAATCAAACTGGAGTTCAGTAGTAGGGTCCTGCACACCCCCCACCCCCAGCAAGAAGGGCGGTGCCACATGGAGTGTCTCCCAGGCTGAGGAGTGGGGGCCGGCCCCCTACTGGCCTGCGGCAGGGCAGGGGTGACCCCAGGGGCTCTTTGGTTCAGGGACAGGGCACTGGGCCTCATCTGGTGCGGTTCTGGCGCATGAGGGGCACGATGCTGGCGGGCGGGCCCGCTTTGGCCAGGAACGGGTGCTTCAGCAGTTCAGCCGCTGTGGCCCGCTGTGCCGGGTCACGCACCAGCAGGCGGTCCAGGAAGCCCTTCAGGGACGGGGACACCTGTCGAGAAGAGAGGGAGACAGTTAGGGGATCTGAGTGCCAGCTCCACCGCTCACTTGCCATTGGGCCTCCGTGCTCCTCTGTCAAATGGGATGACAATACCCACTGCCCAGGGAGGGGGCCAGGAGGTCCCATGTGTACTAGGGTCGGGCCCCGGGGGGAGCAACAAATCCAGCCAGGGGCTCATTTCTTTTGCATTTTCAAGGTTTGTAAGGAGGGGACCGCAGCTGAGCCCTGGGGGTACCTCTCCCTTACCAGGAAGGCTCCTCTCCTGCACCTGGCTATGCTGTGTGTGTTCAGCCAGGCCAGCCTAAGCACAACCACTGTGGGACGGTCGGTGAGGGCTCAGGGGACCCGCGGGGGTAGGGGGTGGGGAGCTCAGCACAGAGCGTCCTCTCCCCCACACCACCTGCCTGCCGGGCGGGGCCCACCTTGTGCAGGTTTTTCAGTCGAGGCGGCAGGTTGTCCCGAATCATCTTCATGGCTTTGAGGGGTGGCTCGTTGAAGTAGGGGGGCTCCCCATCCACCATCTCGATCACCATCACCCCCAGAGACCAGATGTCCACCTGTAGTGGGGAAGGACGGTAGGGCTGAGCTGTGCAGGGACTGGCTGGTGCTGGGGGAAGCCGCGGAGGTGGGGAGGGGCCCTGCTTCTGCCTTTGCCTCTTTGTGACTGGGGTCCTTGGGCCCTGAACACCCGCTCTGGCACCCACCTTGCCAGACCCACACACTCTTCCCGCAGGGAGCCCTCGAAGGGTTCTGCGCACGCAGCACCCCTCACTTTCTGCTAACCACGCCCAGGTCTCCTCAGGGGAGCAACCCTTCCTCCCTCCCTCTGCAGAGCATCCTGGGGTCCCGGACCAGGGGGCCTAATCGGCACAGGTGGGACATAGTAATTGGTTCAGGAATAGGCACGTGACCCAAGCGGAGCCAATCAGAGTCAATTCTAAGATTAATATCCAGGAAAACAGTGCCGCTCGTGGGGTGGGGACGTGGCCATGTACTGAGGGGCTGGGCCAGCTCTGCTCCAACAAGGGCGGTGCCCGCCTGACTGAGGACTACGCCGAAGCAGTCGGGGCTGGGGACGGACAGAGCGCATGGATGGCTGGGCCCGAAGCCGGTCACCATGCCCAACTTCACAGTTCTTGGGACCCAGACCCAGCTAACCGTTTGAGCTGGTTTTCTCACTCACAGCCCTGGGCGTGGCTCCGAACTAGCACCCACCCAATCAGGGACGAATGCGCAGAGCACATGCGTGCCTACGTCCTCTCCCACAAGCCCATCCCTGGTGACCCACTTCCCAGACTGAGCCCCACCCCGCCCCCAGCACTCCAGCTGTTTCGGACCGTCACGCTGTAAGCCAGGGCCGACAGCCGGACAACCGGGCCACCTCCGGGTTACCTCTGGCCCATAGGGGAGGCGAGAGATGAGCTCTGGGGCCATCCAGTAGGGCGTGCCGACCAGTGACTTCCTCCGCGGTACCTCCTTGCTCACCTGGGCACAGAACCCAAAGTCCGACAGCTTCACCTGCAACAGGGCACAGGCAGCGGGGGTCAGAGGTGCTGGAGGTGGGAGTGAGCGGTGTCCACCTGCAGCCTGGAGGTTAGAGCCAGACCACTGAGTGGCTCCACCATCTGCCAGCAGGGGGCCCTCAGGTGTGTCACCACCCCAGGATCACACCTTCTGCCTCCCTGACAGGGTCTGCCCTGGGACTCCTGCAGGAAGTGGCCCAAGCCTTACAGGTAACAGATGCTTCATGGGGGCGGAGATCACGGCTGGCTCCAGAGGCCCATACCCTGGGCCCCGGTGTCCCTGGAGGGAGCACATCTTTAGGTGAGAGGGGCACAGCCCTGCCCACGAGGGCAGGAGGGGTGTGGCCCACGCGGCAACAACCGCGTTCCCAGAACCACGGATTTTCACCTGTTTTGGAGCCACGAGCCCCCTTCAGATTCTCGAGGGTATGTGTGGATCTTCTCACCCCCAGGAAATATACGCACACGGCATGCACACAATTTCAGGCTCCCAGATGTCCCCCAAACACGTCTGCAGACGGCTTTAGGGGTTGGTGGATTTCAACTGAGACTCCCAGTGAAACAGGGCCCGCTCCCACCCCTACCTCTACTGGAATGGCTTAACCTTCCTGGGGGAGGACAGGCGAATCACCAACAAGATTTTGGTGAAAGTCAAGGACCCCCTCCCGCTGAAAATCACATCTACTCTTAAAAATATAAATGCAGGTTCTGGGCCCCGGGAGGCTCATCCGTGGACCTCAAATTTGGAGCGTAGGTCCAGAAGATGGGAGGCGGGATGGCGGTCGATGGCCCACCTCTGGGTGCTCGGCTAGGAACAGTTTCTTGGTGGAGGAGGAAGCGTATGGCCGAGAGCAGTGGCCGGCCACTCAGACGCCCTCTCCCCTCTCTGGGCCCAATGCGAGACCACAGTTCCAGCATCCTGCGCTGAAGGCAGACTCCGCCAGCCCAGGTCCCCGGTGGATGCGTGAGCAGAGCCCCCCACCGCCCCGGACCCGACTCCGGACTGTTGCATGAGGCGCAAACTTACTGCTCCTTGAGCCACTGAACCCGGGATCAGAGATACCCTCGGAGCAGAGGAGAGCTGGGGAGAGGTGGGGGGAACTGGGGAGAGGCGGGGGAAGCCCGAGCCACCCTGCTCCTCACCCTGCCGTCGTGGGTCAGCAGGATGGAGTCACTCTTGATGTCGCGGTGGATGACGCCCTGCGCGTGGAGCACAGACAAGGCCTGCAGCACGGCCAGGCACACGGCGGCAATCTGCTCCTCATTCATCCTGCGCGGGATGGGGGTCAGCGACTGGGGCAGACAGGGCCCCGGCCGGGGGTCCGAGGGGGACACGGCCCTCCCGGCCCCGAGACGCGGCCCCGCCCCAAGGGGTCCGAGGGGACTTCATCCTGTCGTGGGACAGGTCTGAGGGGACGCAGCTCCCGCTGGAGAGCCTGGGGAGGCAGCAGGCTGGGTGCCCGCCGGGGTCCAGCTGCCTGGCGGTACCTGGTGTGAGTGACGATGTCGGTGAGGGCGCCGCCCTCCAGGAACTCCATCACCACCCAGAGCTCATCCCCGACCAGGTAGCTGTTGTACATCTCCACCACGTTCTCGTGCTGGTAGTCCCGCATGATCACCACCTGGGCACCGGGCTGGGTCAGCGGGGTGGGGAGGGCCACCCTCCCGCCTCCTCTCCCGCCCCGGGCTTGGGCCCCGCCATGCTGCAGGCCCAGTCCCACCTGTCACTCCTGCTCACCAGGGTCATCCTGGACCGCCTGCCCCAGTGCCAAAGCCAACAGACCCCAACGGCAGCTTGAGGCCTGATGCCTGCGTGGTGGGGGGGGCGCCCCCCCACACCCCAGTTTCAGATCCTGCTCTCCGACCAGTCCTGAGGTGGTCTCTGAGTGGCCCTGATGACCAGGCTGGTGTTGGGAGAGGGACTCGGGAAGAGAACATCTACGCACAGGGATGAGACCTCAGCACAAGCAGGTTATCAGCCAAGGTCAGAATAAAAGGCTGGGGGGGATGGACTTCAGGGGCAGAGGGCCTAACGAGGCAAAGCCGGGGCTTGGGGGTGGGAACACGCCACTTGCAGGGGTCCCGCTGAATAGCTCCCGGTGCAGCTGGAGCCCTGTAATGTTGGGGGGCCGGGGGAAGGGTTATGGGGACAGCTGAGGAGTACTGAGACGGGGAGGCAAAAGCCACAGTTTAGACCACCTCCAGGCCTGCCGTCCTGGGACTCCTGCGTCAGAGTCCGGGGCCTGCTTCCTCTGGGGAAGGAGCCGGGAGTCTGCCTTTGTAACAAGCTCCCTGGCAGATGACACAAGAGCCAAAGCCAGAGGCTGGACAGAACCAAGGGCCCAGATGGGGGCTGGACCTCAAATGCTCGGCCAAGAAGCCAGGCCTTCATCCTGAGGACACTGAGGGGTGGGGCGCGCGCGGGCATGGGATAGTCTCACATGTCACATGTCAAAAAGAGCCCTTTAGTGGCGGTGTGGGGAATGCCCAGGGGGCGCCCAAGAGGGGAAGGCCGGGCAGGGCCGAGCGGGAGAGGCTGGGGCTACGCAGGGGCTGATGGGCTGGGAGAC